ATTTTCTAGACTTTATGAATTGTTTTTCCTTACTCTCCCCTTCCTCTCCCACATTTATAGAAAACAGCAGCACTGAGGAGAAACTGAAACAAAAGTGAAACTAAGACAAGCTTCATGGATCACTGCACCATTTAGTTAAACATTTTGTTTTGGAGTTATGTCTCAGCTTCATCCTTCCACCTGGAACAAACTTCTTCCTTCCTGTCGCTTGCATTTCTCTAATTTAAGAAAATTCAATACTTTTAATAAAAACATACAATAAATAGCACATTGGATCCTTCATCTCATGACTAAATCACTTGAATTTTGTGTACACTTTCTCTGTATGGAGCATTGTTTATCATAGACCCAAAACTTCTGCATTTATTTTGGCCCAGCACTCAGCAAGGTTAGACAAATATTAAATAGATGAGTATTTATAAAGGTGTATATGTTACACTATGCAATAACACAAACACATTAGAAAAAAAGTGAACCAGGACAACAGAAGTGTACAAATATATTTTTAGTAGAAAATTACATACACATGAAAATACAAACATCATAAAGAGGTGATTTTAGCCCAGGAAGCCGACTTTCTGTCTCTTCTTGCCCAGACTCTCCTCCTGCTGCAGCAGCTTCATGAGAGGAGCGTGGAGAGCTTTTCCTACTCGCTTTCCTGCCTGCAGAGAGAAATTAAACAAAGCAGGGCGTAACCTTGGATGCCATAAATACCTGAATGCATACAAGGATTTCTTATCTTTGAGTAAAATGACTATGTACAGAATGCCAAGTCTTTAAAACTTTAAGAGGTAACACTTTATTTGAAGAGGTGTGCTTAAGACAGATATAAACAGGAAGGAGAATTCATGAATGTTTAGAACTGCTGTCATGAAATACCATTTGGCAAATAATGACACTTTTATTGCAAAGTTGCATTAAAAGTTATTATTTACAGAATGATAAAGTGGTTATAGTTGTGTGAGTTTAAAGAAGAATAAAATCGAGGAACAGGAAGTCAGAGTTGTCACCTCTATCATCTCACAGATGCTCTCTGGGTCCAGGCTGCCTCTCCCCACCTTCCTGCTGCAGGTGATTATTCCTTTGTGTGTGACGGAGATGATGAGGCTCGCCACAGAGCAGGCCTTCTCCTGCAGGGTGGCGTCCACCACGTGTCTGTGGCCGATCTGCACACAAAAACCCAGCCGGCCTTAATCATCCGCCACGTCAAATCTAGTTTCTATCTGAACGCGTCGGCTGGGAGCTCACCTTGCACAAAGTGACGATGCAGGGAACGTTTTCCACATGGAGTCTCATGCAGTCGTACGGGTCGTCAGAGAGCTCGATCTCCTTCCCTCCTTCTTCATCGGATGAGATGTGAACTCTGGGAATTCTGCCGGAGAGGAAACCAGAACACGGCTCATTTTCACAACTTTGTTTTTTTGTTTGTTTGTAGAGGAAATCAGTTTAGATCAAAATTAATGGAGTAATACAAACTCACTTAGTGTTGAAAAGAGCAGCTTTGATCGCTACTGAGATGGCGTCGTACAAATTCCCATCACACTGAAGAAGCTGAGGAGGAAACACAATAATGTTAGAGTTTATCTATTTGGCTCAAATGAAAGGCGTTTTAAACAGGAAACACAAAATCGAACATGAAATTTCATATTTTACTGTTGGGAAGGATCTGGAGTTGGTGTGTGTTACAAGTGAGAACAACTAGATCCAGCAGAACCAACCCCCACACACAGCTGAGTGCCTATTATTGTTGTAGACAATAACAGTTATTGGATCCTGAACATCATAGGAACTAAAGGTGGAAAGGCAAACTAATAGTTTTTTCTTTCCCATCAACAAAACTGTCATTATATTGTGACAATGTAATATGAGACAGATAATCTGAAAGGATTAAGCTCCTCTGTTTCTCCCTGAATCTGAAGAAATGCACCAAGTCAAAAACAACCAGAGTCAGGAGGAGGCTGCCAATAATGTCTGTGCTAATGAGACAGATGATCTGCCTCATATCAATAAATCATTCAATAAATATGTAAAAAAATTAATAGAAGCTTCAATTGTTAATCCTCGTTTTAAAACTGCAACAAGCTTTAGCTGTAATGTTGGAGGGTCTTCCTTCTGAAGCCAGGTGACCCTTGAACTCACCAACACATCCACATAAAGCACCCAGCAGTGTTCTCCAGGACTTATGCAGAGGCTCTTCAGATCCAAGCTGTGCTGGTTGTTGAAGACTTTGTAGAGGGTGTTGCTCAGCTCCGTCCCCAGTTCTTCGCCTCCTCTGCCCTCAAACTCTGGGGTTGCATTGGCCGAGCTGAAGATTAACAGAGGAAAAAACAACGTGGTGGACTGGAGGCGTACCAAGATATCCCACTTTATTTTATTTTTAGAAATATGACAGAGCTGAGGGTGATTCATGATTTTGTGAAATTCTGCTGTTATCTTTTTCCAAAAATGTAAGCTAGTACGACACCGCCCTCTAGTGGATGGAGAAAAATAGGTGATAGCGGTCAGCGCTACATTTTTAATAAATTACTGTGAGCAATTAAATCCTCATTTATACAGGGTTATATTTATGTGATCTAAAACGTTGTTTAATGTTCTTGAAACATGACATAAAAATATGACAGGACGGGCTGCACAGTGTGCAGTTGGTAGCACTGTTGCCTTGCAGCAACAGTGCTACCAGGCTTGGAATCGAACTGGGTTCGATTCCAGGCCCGGGGTCTTTCTGAACAGAGTTTGTATGTTCTCTCAGTGCATGCATGGCTTCTCTCCGGGTTCTCCGGCTTCCTCCCACAGCCCAAAAACATGACTGTTGTGTAAATTGGTCTCTCTATATTCTCTCTAGGTGTGAGTTTCTGTGTGCATGGTTGTTTGTCCCGTCTGTCTCTGTGACAGACTGGCGACCTGTCCGGGGGAGTGACCCCGCCTCTCATTCGGAAAGTTAGCTGGAGATAGGTACCAGCACCTCCTGACCCACTGGGGACACGGTGTTAGAAAATGGATGGATGAATATGACAGGACCAACAGCTCTGTTAGGAGTTGCAAGCTTTGGATCTCACTATATGATTTTAAGACCATATTGACATTAAAATAATCGTTTAAAGGCTTGATAAATTGCTGAAGATAAACCAGAATTGTACTAATTTTTAAATATTGCAATTATTTACTATTTTTTGTTCGTCAATGCATTTCTTTCCTGAGTGATGTTAACCCACCCATCTTCTTTTTTAAGAGTGTTTTTATTTCGTTCGATTTTGAATTCAGGTAAACTCACAGAAGTAAAAATATTTTCTGTCATTTGTCAGTTTTATTAAGGAAAAACAATCTATTGAAATGATAAATCAAATTTGGTATAAACACCAAACCCACCAGTCAACGAAGAACTCCAAATATCCCTGGTTTGCAATCATCGGCCTCGGTTTCCCGATCTCAGCCTTGATCCCGACCAGAACCGCAGTGTGTCCCTGAGAGGATCAATGGGAGACAATCATGTGGATCAGACTGAACCATAATTACCATTAAGTTAGACCTCATGTAGCAGCTGGACCTGAAAGTGACTAAATGACGTAAATAATAGTGGCCCAGATTTTCTTACAAACTGGCATTTGGTGTAATTCACTCTAATCTAACGCATGTGTTTTATTTAAGTTGTTTCCTCACAAAATGAGAAGCTGAAGGGACTTATGTTTACCAGAGTTACTTTAGCGGATCCGTCAGTGTTGGACACCACGTCTGTTTCTACCTCCATGTGTCTGTAGTCCTCGCAGCCTCTCCCATCCACCCGTAAATCATCCTGATCAGAACCACAAACAGCGTTTAAAAACCCTCAAACAAACCATTCACATCTTGACACGACAGTTCACCTCCATGGTTCCGGTAAAAGACGAAACCTTACCCGTATTCCGTGTAGGATGTAAACTTTCTCAGCCTCGCTGACTTGTACTGTTGCCATGTTGTTTTCTTTACTCTTCTTCGCTGCTCTTTTTCTTCTTCTGTAGTTTTTAACGGCAGCGTCCATCCATTGATGTTGCATTACTGCCACCTCTTGGATTTTACTACGAATTACATTTTCATTAAATTCTCCTGAGATCAGTATTTTTCAAAATATGAAATTCATTTCCCTTCATTGCTATTTAACTGAGCAACTTCATTTTAATTTTTCAGTTTCATAATTAAACTTAGTTCTATACTAAATTATTTTCTGTGTCATACATATATATCCCGAAACTAATAAAGCCATGTTCCATAGTTTATGTTGTCTTACACGATCTTGAGTAGAAGTGCATTGAAAGAACTATGACCAGTTCTTAACCTTTGTCCTTCCTTGTGTTTATTCCTCTAATTCTTATAACATCAACTGTATTTTGTATCCTGTATAAATCCTACATAAAATGGAATGGTGTTCATAAAGATAATTTTTGGCTCTAAATCAATCTGTTGATGGGTTTTAGAGATTTTCTTCTTTTCTTCAGGTAGAAGTCTGTCTCTCTCCAATAGACAATGGTTGTTATGCAAAACAATGCTCTATCAGATGCTAAAGCTACAGTATGTAACTTTTGTCAAAGAAAAATGTTTTTTTTTTTTTTTTTTTTCAGAGCCAGGAGGGGGGTCCTAGCGCTGTCAATCACGCACTGCTCAGACCCCCCCCATGCTGCAATGCTACATCGTCTCCCCAACACTGGATTCTGTCATGAATGCTCAGGCTAATGCTGCCTGTCAGCTGATGAAAGCTGACAGGCAGCTTTTCTGTAATGATCAGCGCATACACGAGGTTGATTGACGTGATGTTATGCATGGTAAAAAAAACAACAACCACAAAAAACCTATAGCTTGCTAAAAATTAGTTGGAATTTTATTTGGATGGCGACCAAGCTGTTTTATTCCCTATTTGAAAAATACATCAACAACCTTCAAGATAATACAGTGGCAAAATTCTCTTGATTTGATTGGCCAACTGGGATTCAAGCCTGCATTGACAGAAACCTGACAGTCCACGCTCAGGGCACACACGCCCTTTTTCAGGCGAAGAGGGCACCAGACTTCCTGGTTGGATGGACCCGATTTGTTGTCTTCATTTCCCCGCAGAGCTCCCTGGATGTGACCGAGTAGGGAAGCTCCGGAGCAGAGCCGTGTTTTAATAGCGTTTATTTTTTAGCGATGAAACAAATTAAGAAACAAACAGCAGTGTGAAAGAGAGGCGGTTGTGAGGACGGGAGCAGCGCGCGGACATCGGAGAGGTTAGCTTGGACTGAGCTAGCAAACGCCGCGGCAGAGCGGAGTGCAGACCCCCTGGGTGGCGTCTTTCCACTCTCCGAAACCTCGAAAGAAACGAAAAACTACAAGAAAAAACGGACGGAATCGGAGAAACCGAGAGGTGAGTTGTTTAGCTAGAGGAAAAAACAAATGAAAACATCCTAATTGGACTAGATTCCAGCTTTTAAACAGTTGGGAAACCTGATTCCTGCCCTGCTCCAGTTATCAGAGTTAACTTCCTGGTTCAAGTTCTGCCTTCAAATCTGTCTGAAAATAAATTAACCGCATTCACAAGATCTGATATTATCTGTTCGAGTCATCCAAACATTTAGTTCAGCTGGAAAAACCGACTCAGTGACGTTCAGGTGTAATATTGTTTATTTGACTCTTTAGTAAATAGTCTTTTGAAAAGAATCTCTGCATCAGTTTCGACAAATAACATTTTATTTAATAATATAATCGGCTATATCTTTATTTTAGAATTATTTGGATTTTATTTCATTTTACCTCCATAATATTAATGGTTATGAATATTAGATCTGGATATCATAAGAGGACTCAAAAGTTATGAATAAAAATGGAGAATTTGTACTTCTGTGCTTTTTCTCATATAAATTTTTCTAAAAGTTTAATTGGTTTAAAGTTTATTCCACCCATCCGCCTTAACAATTGTTCATGCTGCTATCTGTTTATCCATTCATCCACCCGTCCACCTACCTGTTCATCCTACCATCTATTTGCTCATATTTCCATTCACCCAGTCATTTATCTGTTCATTTGTTTATCCAACCATACAGTGTGTTTCATCCAAACTGCACTGATGAAGCAGTTTATGCAAAAATAATGTTTATATATTTTCCAGTGAGCTCATATGAGCATCAAAAATAAATGTATTGAATTTTTGTAATATTCAAAACTGAATTCTGTGCTTTCATTAGATGTGAGAACTGTGCATCAAATTAATGGAAATAAACACTTTGATAGATGATTTTTAATTCAGTTACTGAAATAAATCAATTTCTCCTTTGTATTCTAATTCTTTTACATGCACTTGTATTTTATCATTAGTCAACGTGAATCTATAATCACCCTAATGTATTCCCAGTTTGCTCTTTCTTATTTTGCTGATTTTGTAGTTTCACAGGTTCTCTCAGTGGCTCTGGAAGGCTAAAAACAAAATGCTATATGTCACAGTGTCTGTTTAATAAGACCTGGACGGACTGGTTCGGTCACCAAACCGTTGTTTTTGGTCTTCAGATGAGGTTCAGGTTAAACCACATGAAGGCATTAAGGAACTGCGTGTCGTTGAGCTCTGCCCTCATTGGGTACCGTCATCCCACCACCCTGTCACCACGTTCCAGCAACAGGCTGTAAAACATGCCCATAAATTATTGATGAGTATCTGAATATGCTGTGAGCAGTTTTAGTAACCCTTTGCTTTTGGTCCACTGAGCTCAACTAGAGGGGCGAGTCTCACTGAAAGTGCCTTCTATTGTTAAAGTAGCATTTCATTGGGGAAACTCTTGAAAACATTGACTTTGGTGTTTGTTATGAATATGTCCTGGTTGACCAATCGGCTTCAGTGCCTTTAGTTTTAGGGTGTTTTCTCCCAGGCTTAATTTCAAAGCCTTATTGTAAATAATTTATATTATTATTAAGGAAATGCTTGTTTCTGGTAAACCAAACACTGATTTGTTTTTCTCGCAATATTCTCTTGCTGAGAAAGTTGTTTCCAAATTACCTAGAATAGTGAAAGAAAGACAGCATTTTATTTTTTCAGCAATTGGACTCAGAAGTAATGGGTATTTTGTTCAGGTTCTGGATTAAAAAAAGTTGACAATTGTAGAGGTGTAAACACAGTACACTGCAAAAACACTTATTAGCTATTTTTGGTTGAGTTTCTAGTGCAAATATCTTAGTATAATTAAAATGAGATGACATTAATTTACAAATAATTAATATTGATTAAAAAGTTAATCACTGGCAGACTATTTTACTAATAAGATATTTTTCATTTGCTTTTAGTGAAATAACAAATGGAACTACAACTTTTTTATTTTAAGTAAGTTTGTCTTTTTTCAAATGTGCTAAGATATTTGCACTAGAAACTAAACAAAAATACTTGGTGAGATTTTATGTTTTCGCGGTGTGAATGTTTCCATTAAAAAATGCAGAGAACTCCTGAAATCTGTATAGAAAATAATTAACTTTTGATATAAATTTTGTCTGAAACTTGATTCTGTCTCTTTCCTCTTCTGCATCCCTCCATCCCTCCCTCTGCCCTCCTGCTGCGTCCTGTCAGTATGAGACTGGAGCCACAGGCGCTGTAGGATGAAGAGTCCGGCGCACCGCAGCAGAGACATCGAGCGGCAAGCCGGCTACCTGAAGCCCGAGCACTGTGCCCCTCCTCCTCCGCGCAGCAGCTCCGGCACCATGTGGTTCATTCGTGACAGCTGCGGCATCGTGTGCGGCATCATCACCTGGCTCCTGGTCTTTTATGCGGAGTTTGTGGTGGTGTTCGTCCTGCTGCTGCCAGCTAAAAACGTGGCCTACAGCTTCTTCAACGGGCTGGTCTTCAATGGCCTCGCCTTCCTCGCTCTCGCTTCTCACGCCAGAGCGATGTGCACGGACCCGGTCAGTTCAACCACTTTAAACCCATAGAAACACTCCGTAACCACAATATTCATTTAGACAGTTAGAAGAAGTATGCAAACCTGTAAAATTTGCATTTATCATGCATCACATGATGAATTCAAATTAACTCAATAATTTCCATTTGCATGATTGATTGTTTTTCTCTTTTATTTTTTTCTCTTGATGACAAAAGTTTTTATTCTGGTCTCAACTTGCCCTTTATTTGAAGGACAGTTTTGCTTACAAAAACTTCATAATTCATTTTATTTATTCCTCCTGTTGTTTGTTGTTTATTGTAGAAATTTAAGCCGTTTTCCAGTTGCAGTGATAAATGTTTATTAGAATGTAAAGTTTAGTGATCTTTGGGAATACCATTATATTACTAAAATTGTTTATTGCTTATTGCATTAACCTCTGGGACAATTTAATGTCCATCAAACTTTGTAATTGTGGCAGGTGTAGCTGTTCTCCTCCGGCGTTAATCAGTAAGGATCTTTGGTCTTATGTAAATCATCCACATATGAAGTATTTCTTTTTTTGAATAATAAATTAAGAAGATATTGATTATGTGGCGTTACACAGAGTAGGACTGGGTGATAAACCAATGTGATACATTTTTTCATTTTTTTCCTCCACCAATGCATTTCCTCGGTTTCTATAGTTCAGAATGGTGTTATCATGACTAAAGCCAAGCCTGTTTGACAAGCGTGTTTTACAGCTTTTATTATCTGCATTTTGAATTCAGGTCAACTATAATGAAATATTAAGGTTAAGCTGAGATTTTTTAATTTTTTATTAAAAACATAAATGTCTAAAATTATTAGATTAAAAGTAAAATTTCATAAAAACTCAAAAACAAAATTAATTAAAATGAGAAATGTTGAGCATCTTGTGAAATTACACTTTGGAATAAGTTTTACAGATAAAACACATCAGTATGAAATTATTATGATTAGAAGCAGGACTTTGAAACAATCTCACAAACTGTTTATTTTGAAAAAGAATCTGATAACTACACTTTTTTTCCCATCATTAAAACATTTTTTTCCTCATAATTTTAAGATGTTTTTTTTGATCTTTTCCTGATAGAGTTATGACTATATTCACCAGTTGCACAACAATTCTAATCATCTTTACATAATGTTCCATTATGCAACTAACAGAAGAGATTATTGAAATAAATATTATCATTACTGTATTTTTATTACAGTAATGTAATAACAATCTGGAACCTCAAACTGCTACAAAGACTAAGTCAATATCACAATTTTCTATTTTTTTTTAATAAGGGAAAATCAACTTTTGTTCTAATTTCTTTCTCAAAAAAATATTCTTTTTAAGAAAAGATCCTTTCAAAACTGCTAAGTCTCCTTCAGGAAATTTCAGATTTATAGTTTGAAGAAACCTGTGGATTACCCATCACTGTATTTAGATAAATAATCTGGCAATGCAACTTCTTTGCATGACTGTTTTAGTTTATCTGACTCCTACAAAGGATTGGACTCTTTTTCGTCTGCTTCTCTTGAAGCAGTTTAATTTATTGTCGACACTCGAGAGAAAAAAATCTTGTAGTCGTTATTTAGAGAACATATTTCTAAAGGTAGTTTATGTTTACAAAGGAGTAACTTTCATGGATAATTCAGCTAAACTGCTGTTTGTTTTTCATTTCCTCTCCTGTCTCGCAGGGAGCCGTGCCCAAAGGAAATGCAACCAAAGAATTCATTGAAAGCCTGCAGCTCAAACCGGGGCAGGTTGTGTACAAGTGTCCAAAGTGTTGCAGCATCAAGCCTGACAGAGCGCACCACTGCAGGTAGAGCAGGGCAGCTTTTACCTGGAGAAATCTGCTGCTATCGTCCCACTGGGATCTCTCTCCTCTCCTCCAGTGTGTTTGTCCCAGCACAACGTCTCCTGCATCTCCCATCTGTTTGTCTGCTTTACTTTTGTTAAGTCTGCTTGTGCAACGTTTCCCTGCAGACTCTGCAGCTCGGTAATGGGGATTCCCTCTGTGGCCGTTGTGTTTCTCTGGGAAATCCAGGCGTGAAAAGTGCAAAAACACCAGAGTGATTGAAATTCAGTCGATGCTTTAGAGCTTCAAAATGGTACGACTTGTCACAATAACAAATATCGCCCAGTAATTATTGTGATAAATTATATTTAATGTATTTTGAAGTAATATTTTCATCATGGCATAATAATGCAAGTTTTCCCTCTCAGAAACTAATGAAGCTTAATTTTGTGAAGAACACTTAGTACTGAAAACTGGAAGTCATTTGAAATTTTCACAATAAAAAAAGGCAATCAAAGAAAAACAACAACAACCGAAAGCGTAAATGAAATTAAGTACAATGTCTCTGTAAACAAAATTGCTCTTCAAAAAATATTCATCATCACAATGGAAATGATCAAGCTCCTTTTAACTTAGCATGCAATTAATTGATTATTGCAACAGGCTTATTAATGGCCGTCATTATTGTGGCTGTTTTCAGAAAACACATTTTCCTCTGATGATGTTTTCCTGCTGGGGAACTTTGTGTGAAAAACTGATTGAAAAGTCAAATGTTTTGCTTTTTCCTGTGAGAATCAGGACTCGTCACACTCGTAAGGCAGAAGCATCACATAAATAATCAGCTCACTGTGTCCCACATTCATCACAGTATTTCTCTTTGCCTGCATGATTGTGTTTGCATGCCCTGTAAATGTGTTTTGCCTTCAGAATGATGCGTTTCTCAGCCTCCTCGCTGCTCTGTCGTATTTATTTCTGCTTGTCTCCTCAGTGTGTGTAAACGCTGCATCAAAAAGATGGACCACCACTGTCCCTGGGTCAACAACTGTGTCGGAGAAAACAACCAGAAATACTTTGTGCTCTTCACAGTGAGTCTTTTAGCTAAAAAAATATATATATATTTGACGACCCAGTTAACCTAATTTACAATAAATCTGTTTGTTTTTCAGATGTACATTGCACTGATTTCCTTACACGCGTTAATCATGGCGGCCTTCCACTTTGTTTTCTGCTTTGAAGAAGACTGGGCAAGTAAGTGTCTGAATGAGAAAAAGATCCCCGTCCTGCTGCATAAAATCTATTTCATCCTGGGTTAAACGTGGAAAAAAACCTTAAAATAAAGTCGTTCTTTATTATTAGCAGCATAAAGATCTAAAAAAAACTTCAATCTTTGATTTGGGTGCATTCAATCTGTGGGTAAAAAATGTTTAAATAGTTTTCTCCTGTAGATTTTCACAAGGTTGAAGCAGAAAAACGTCTTTTTCACAAAATATTTTCTAATCTGATCCAGGGGTGGACGATATGGACCTACAGGTTTTTATCACAATAGTTTGCCGTACTATCCTGATGGTGATAAAAATGGCTGTGTGACTGACACAAATAATAACATTTCCAATTTTAATCTGCTTCTTTTTAACACTATTTATATAAAGAAGTGTGATTTGTGAAATGATAACATTACCAATCTCGACATTTCTGACGGTTATGAGGCATTTTAAACATCATTAATTGAATTTTATTGTCACAACAATAAATCAGAATCTTATAAATTATTTCCCATGTTTGATAATCAGTTTTTGAGATTATATTTTGAGGTTGATCAGTACTTTACTCGTTCGCTTGTCCTTCTTGAAGAAATGAGGGAACTGCTGAACTTAGAGTTGTAGAAAATATAGAAGTTTTATTTTCTAATTATTTGAAAATTTACCAGAAAAATTTGTAGCTTTTGTTTCCCTGAGCGATGATTCAGTCTAATATTCTGGGTTTTCAGCTCAAACAGAGAAAACATTTCATAAAGAGAAAAGCTAACTTCTACTGAGACGTACGACTGGCTTTAAGGTAACAAAATCTCTTCTTCTTCTTCCTCTCCCAGAGTGCAGTAACTTTTCTCCACCAGCTACAGTCATCCTCCTCATCCTCCTCTGCTTCGAGGGTCTGCTCTTCCTCATCTTCACTGCGGTCATGTTTGGGACTCAGGTTCACTCCATCTGTAGTGATGAGACGGTGAGCGACTTCCTGCTAATCCACGTTAATCCCGCTGGGGAAAAAAAAAAGCAAATCAAGGAGTTTAAAGTGCAGCGCTGTCAGTCTTAACCACAATGGATGAATGATGAAGATAAATCATTGATAATCAATGAGAGATGCTGTTATTTCCAGCTTTTATAGAGGTTTATAAATGTGAGTTAATGTCAGATATATTTATAAACTGTATTTTATTGGAGTGGAGAATAAACAGTCAATCTTTTCCTCCCTCCACACACACACTTCTTCCCTTCTTCTCTTTCGTTGCCTCATCTTGTATGTAGAGCTGCTGATTATCTTGTGACGACAGACTCCTTCAGCTTATATTTAGTATTCATAATTTACCCCAAAAAAACCTCCCAGAAACACAGTGGAACCAGGTAATCCACTTGCAGCCCTCTGCAAGGCTGACTCCAGTACATTTTCTGCTCTTTCCACCCACGGCATGACTCACAGCGCCATAATATTCACTACAAAGATCATCTGTCTCAGGCAATTTCAGAGTAATGGAGCCTGCAGTTCAGCGTGTTTTCAGTGAGTCTCCTGCAGCCTATGGGAGGAAAACAAAAGAATGAAAACATGATTCATTTCCCTGCTCTTTTGTCATTCATAATTCAAAGGGTTTGTTTTTTCCTCTGCAGGGTATCGAACAGCTAAAGAAGGAGGAGAGGAGATGGGCCAAGAGGTCCAAATGGATGAACATGAAGGTGGTGTTCGGCCACCCCTTCTCGATAGCCTGGCTCAGCCCGTTTGCCACGCCGGACCACGGCAAGGCCGACGTCTACCAGTACATCGTGTGAAAGCTGAAAACCGCCGCTGACTTGGACTCATTTTAAAGCGTCTCTTTCTGTCGTCTCCATCCTGAGAGGTGGATATTTCTTGAAGTTTGGATCTTCTTGGGTGTTCTTTTAGTTTCTGTAATGTAGCTTTTTGGGTTTTTTTTCCGTTTCCCTTTTGGTGCTGAATGAGATTAATGACATTTGTCGCAACCATGAAGCAGCACCGGGAACAAAAATCAAATGAAAGATGAGAAGCACTTGGAGCTCTGTTCGATGCTGCGTGTCGGACCATTTCCTCCTTTCTCAGAGTAAATCATGTGAACTGATGACCAGCATGATCCAGGTATCGACTCTTGGATTCGTCTTCCTGTAAACAATCCCGCCATCCACTTAAATTGCTGTTTCAGTGTCTTTGTGATAATCTCCTCCTGAATGCTGCAGGTGATTTTTGCCTTAGAACGGTCCTTTAGCAGGCGGCACATCTGATATTTTTGAAGATATCTCTATTTATTGCCTTAATGCAGCACTGCAGCTTGTCACTGGTTTACATTATTTTTGAAGTGAGAATGTTGCAGCCTTGTTCAGTGGGTGGATTTGTTCAGGAGTGTGTTTTTTATGCTTATTGTTCTGCATAAAAGCCACAAAGGTAGAACAAATCATGTGTGATGAGATTCAGATTGCTTTCATATGTAAAATGTGGAAGCAACCATCCTAAAGCTGAAGCAATAACTCCAGTGATTGGTTTAAGTTATTATCCTTCATTTTACATCATGGTTTGACACGTTAAACACAAAACTTATGCTTTTTTTAAGCATAAAAATCTCCATATTTATTGGCATACCCAGTAAAGATGCATGTGTGAAATAAAATAATCTTTCGGCTTTAGCTTAATGAAAGTTTTGGCTTTAATTTCTGAGATTATTCTAACCTGTCAGTATTGACAGAGCTGTTTTAAATCTTCTAATTATTCCTTTAATCATAGATATGCTCAAGTTTTGACCAGATGGATTTTTTTGTTTAACATGTCTGTCTTATAATTAAACTGCATGTTCTCTTGTGTTTCCCATTTTTTAGAGAAGCAGAAAATCTTAACTTTTTTCAGTTGTAAAGAAGGAAATTATACATCTGGATTTGTTAGGTTTCTCTATATCAATGGCACAAGCAGTATTATTTGCTTATAGGATTGAATGGATAAATGTACTCAAACTGAAGTTTGAAATATATTTTTTAATAAGTATTAAATCTCTTTTTATACATTTACATGGGCTGCCAATAAATTTAGGGGGCACAACAGCTATGGAAAAAACTGCAAAGTGCTGTGATTTTAGTAAATGTAGGTCTGCGTTTTGAGTACAATTCGCATGTTTTTGCTTGTTTTTGTTTTGCTTATTGCCTTGTGGAGAACTGCTTATGCTTCAAGTTGGATTTATCAGCTTTCCACTCGTCGTCTCCACTAACATTTACATTTAGAATAAAAAGCATCTTCGAAAAGCTGGAAATCTGGTGGAGACCAAGTTAAACCTGTGCATGATGCTTTACAAGAAAATCCTGTTTGGATGGGTTCAGGCGAAATGTTGGATGGGGATGAATTATAATCCCAACGAGACTGAAAGGAAGATGAGCTGCATAAAAATACTCTTAGATTTCTGACTTATCCTGCTTCAGAGTGTCATACCTCACTGCTTCTTATAATGTCTTTCACAGTCAAAACAAGGGAAATGTAAATTCTTTTGGGTTGAAACTACAGCTTGTCACTGATCCTGTTTGGAAGCAGATCTCCAGATTTGTGCATCAACATAATAAAATGACTAATATTTGTAGAAATGAAAGTTTAAGCTACATGTTTAAGTTGAAAACTTGTGGATTGCAGTTTGTAAGAGCAAAATAAAAAGCAGGATGAGTTTCCGTAGCATCTATAAAAAATTTTTAAATGAAATATTTTGTAGATTTTCCAGTCTTTCTCGTCGTTAACTTCAGTTTCTCAGCCAGCAGATGAACCAGCATCCTTTTATTATCTGCTACTTGTAAATGAAACACAAGCTGTTGTTGAAAATGTGAAGGACCGTAAACATAATTCAGCTGCTCAGTTCATGGGGTTCGGTTGTGGGTGATGTAGTTTGTCATCGCAGTTCCTCGTGTGCCTGACTGAACCCGGAAAGCAAACGAGGGTCTTTACACGATCGCATGTTGAGTCGCGTTTCGATCAGACCGGAAAAGGCCCGCTGTGACTTTTAGACGATGTCCTGAGGAAAACAATCACTTCATATTATTGAACACTAAAAAAAAAAAACGCCTTTGCCTGTGTGTTTTAAAGCCTTACTGTATTTAAAGACATCTAAATGCAGATAAAAGGAAATATTTGAGTGCACATGATGCCAAAATGAGTCTTTAATGAAGTCGGTTATTGTGAGATTGCAGCATGGTTGTTGTTTCATGAAAAGGCATTTAAATGGATTTATTTTTAAAATCGTCACCGTTATTTGGAGATGTAGCAAGTTTGCAACAATTTTTCTCTTCTTTTTGTTGTCAACCTGCTCTGTATGTTTCTCTGTTGTCAGGTTTTAATTTTTTGTTGGCTGATGTTTTAAAGGGGAAAGTCAATAAAACAAATTTCAAATAATATAAGATTCATTGCTGTAACATAAAAACTATTAGATATTTTGTTTTAGGGTTTATTACAAAATGTTAAGTTACACAATTGCAGATGTTTTTGCTGTATAGTTATTAAAGACTTAACTCCTTATTGCCTGTTTTTATTTTAAAATCACACTTTGCTATCAAGATTTCTAATTACTTTTTCCCCCTTGAAAAGCTTTACACTTTCATTTACTGTGATGAAGACCACCACAACCCCTGTTGTCAGTTTGAGCAGCAAATCATCAAAAACCTGCACACGACACAAAACACCTGAATGATGCTGTCGAGATGTTTTTATTGAGTTAAACGATGTTTCCTGTTTACATTTTCTCACTGTGACTAATGTCCGTTTCACATCAACTCAAGATATTTTATGCGTCACCTTCGTCATTAATGTCTCACCATTTTCTTTCAGGTTGGAAATGTGAAAGATGTACAACAAACTAATGCAACATCAGCTTTGACACACAAGATATTTATCGGCTCAGTAATTAATTCTTAGCCCTAATGGTTTTGCTTTAAACTGCAATTTATATATATAAAAAGTTACTTTATTGCACAGCATCACATTTAATCCAGTAGAAGTTTGTCGTTTTTTTTTACTCAATTCAAACGTCAGTGTTTACAGCAAGTGGGCCATGCTGGGACAGATTACGTTGCATCGTTTACCTCCAATAATATCATGCCATTAAAAGGAGACAAACCAGGTATAATGTTTATGATGGAAAGCAAAGATTGTTGAGCGGCTGAGGCTTTAGCAAGGAGGTTTATACCGACCATCAGTCTCATGCATTACTGAGGCATCATCATGTTGGAAAATGCAGGTTGAGCCTTTTGGTGCAGAGAGCAAACTTGGTAGAAACGTCCTTCACTTTCTTTATTGCCCGTACCACAGATACTGCATCAACATAGCAGTAACTTAAAAATACTTTTAGGTTTTGTGTTCCAATTTTTGAAGCCACTTTATTTAGTACATCTTGGTGGAAAAATTGTTCAGATGGTCTACAGCAGGGGTGCCCAAAGTACGGCCCGAGGGGAATTTGTGGTTGTTGGGCTGATTTATTTAGGGCCCCAAACTGCAGTTCAAGAATTAAATTAATTTATTTATTGAACTTTATATTTTTTAATCAGAGCAAAATTATTATTGCAAAGGAAAAAGGGAAGTAAAGCAGCACTCAGTGATAAAAACACTGAGTTTGTAAAAACATGCACACATGACATGTGATGTGACTGAAGTGCAGCAGCTGCCTTAGGATCAAAACACAGTATGTTTCACAGTCTTATATGCAGAAACATAAATTCAAGTAATGAAAAAACGAAACAGAATAAAACATAAGAGGAAGCAGGATGAGCCCTGCAGTGCTACATTAGAACAGCTGTTAGTTTTTAAGAGCAAGAGGGCACTTTGTTAGCTGGCTGCCTTCTTTAAACAGCAATAAGCCTTTTAGATGTTTACAGGGAGTGTCAAAGTAACTAAAGGAAACATAAGCATTAAGTCAGACATTAAGGAGTTGCTCAGTAGTGATAGGATTATCATTCAAGTATGTGGTGCAAAAATCCACACAATTATATCAGATCAGGTCAATAGCTTTGTATAATATGTATGTATATTTTTTGCATTGCCTCATTCCTGCACATAATGTGTAAAAAAGACAGAAATAGTCTTCAGGTTTGACAAATGAAGCATCTCAAGACATTTTTAAGTGATTGATGTCAGTCATTGAATAAAATGAACTCCTGACTCTTTTGAATCCTTATCAGCCACACCCATTGCATTGGTTGGTTTCATGTCGCCTGCTTTGTGCGCTGGACTTAGTAAGAGCTGCATAGAAAGCAGCTGAAATGCTGATCAATCATATTTCTGATGTTTAAAACAAAAAGTTTATGGAGCAGGAAAAAAACTTGGGTCAATTTTGTGCTTGACTGGTATTAACCAGAGCAAGAATGTAATATGTTAGAAGCCAAGTTGTCAACAAATGCAATTAAAATATAGAAAAAACTAATGTTAGCCTAGCACTTGCATAAACCGATGAAGACAGCACTGTTTTGTAGGTTTCAGGAGATGCTTTATAACACTATAGGAACTTTCTTATCTACTCAGTCCCTGTACTGTAATAAGATATTAAAGCTGTTTTAAAGCAGCTACAATTGAGAAAACTTTATGGTCTTAATTTTGCCAAAAGTCAGCTGTAAATGACTTGACTTTGTATCTGGAATGAAAACATGATGATCGGGACATCTCCAAAAGTCAAGTTTACACTGCGTGACTCAACCTTTGCTAACAAAGTCATTTGCCTTTATGGACGGTAAGAAAATGTGTGGCCGTGAGCTTAAATCTCACAACCTGTGAGAAACTTGCAAGATGTATAGTCAATTTTTACTTTATTTTATTCTGGACACTTTTGGGCCGTGATCGTTGTTGGATGCATTTCTGCCGTGAGAAGAAATTGTTAAATTTTGCATTTCTCAAGTCTTACATTGTGTTGTTTTACGATTGTTTGCTGTCAAAATGTTATAATCGCACAGCTTTATGGTGACTGAGGTGAAGAAAGTCGCCCCCTGCAGGCAGACTTTATTAGAAGGCTGGAAAAATAAATAAATGAGAAAACAGTTTTTCTAAATAAATAAAAATAATTGTAGATATTATACTACTGATGGCCAAAATACTGAACTTCATATGTCCATAAACTAAAGTTTGACTTCACAGGAGCTACTTTTCAGTTTTAATATACACACTTTAAAAATACAGGTCCAAATAAAATAAATGCACTTATTCTGTTCTAATGAAACATTGATATCCCTCACATATTTGTATCCAAATTATATATCATAGAGTAGGTGGTAAAAAAGCCAAATGTTTGTTTTATTTGTATGAAACAATTTAAATAGCTTTCAGTGATGAGCAGGAACTAAAAAATCCAGCCTGGAAATATTTACATTGTTTTCTGCAAGACTAAAAACTCATTCTTTATTTCCATTATAACTAAGAACAGAGATGTGTTTCTACAATCCCACTGTTTCTAGATAATGTGCTTTCTTCGTTTTTGCGCCAAACTTCACAGACAAACTAATGCCTCGCCAAACTAAACAGTGTTACAGCTTCAAGTTGGGAAACGGGCGATGCTTGCAGATCGTAATACTCATTGCCCTGGGTAATTATTCTTTGAATACATTTTTATGGTAACCAAGAGAGTGTGTAGACTTTTGTGTGACTGATTTATTGAATATATTGGATTTTGAAGTTATGGGTTATGTGCAAAACGACTGACTTTCCGACTTGGGATTTCAGATGCTGTTCCAGATCATTTCCTCCCAAATTTAAATTCTGGAAAATAAATTGACTGCATCATGTTTGTTAATGTTCACCCCACAAACATGAGAGTGATATCAACCTCTGATCACCTACTCAACAATAGACTATTTAATCTCATCTCCAAACATGCCACATTTTTTATTTGAGCTTTTTTGCCTTTGTGCTATCATTGTCTCAATATGCAACAAATGATATTAAGCTAGAATAATTTCCCTCTTTCTGTGAATCCGTGCACAGAATGATTTAAGAGCTGGAAAGAAGCTGAAACCAGGCGTCCGTTTCTTTATCTCCACTAGCCAGACTGTAGCTGTGCTGCATAAGCAGCTCCTCCGACGGCAAACATCTCCTAAAATCTTTGCAGGGATAAAGTGGACTATTTTATTTTACACTGGGTGCATAATTATTTGGCAAATGCCATTTTTGAGGATTGTTTTTATTAACCACAAACTCCAGTGCTCTCTGTTAATCCAAAATGTCAATTAAACATTAATGAAAGTAAAGGTAAGGTTTTGATTTTCTTATTGAGCAGCTACCAGAATTTATAACACATGAGGAACATTCATTTCCTCATGAGAATCAAACTCATTTCCCTCTGCTGATTATTTGCAACATTTGATGGTTCAGTGAACACATCCAAATATCTTTGCAGTCCCTCAGAGAGACTTTTGGTCATTTTTGACTTTTGAGAATCAGTTAATTCACTTTTTTGTCTAAAGAAAAGAAGCTGCCCAATAATTATGTAAACCTTGATCTCTTTAGACAGATTCACATCACACTTAAATAAATTGTGCCTTAGAACTAAAACTGATGATTTGTTCAAAATGCTCACTTGTCTAATAATTGTGCACACAGTGTATATGACATGACTGGAAGACCTCTTGTTCTCCCGCTGGAGGATTGCAGCTTTTTCAATTATGCACCTGGGCTGCTGTTCAAAAGAGCAAATTCGCTGAATAAAACTGCTGTTTTCAGCCGTTATTTGTCTTTGGCTTTGCTTAAAAGCAGAGGAGGTGTCAGCCTGAGCACAGCACAGCCAGCCAGCGGAGACAACATGCTATTCGTCCTTCGTCGCGGCTGCAGCCTGATGCCGATCCTGTGGCGAAATCCTCTGCAGAACCAACAGACCCGAAAAGGTCAACGAGATCCCGACCCACCACAGTGTTATCTGGGGTTCCCCAAAGATCAGCTGGCCCAGGAAAGCCTGCAACAAGACGGGAAAACAAAAACTGTTTAAGTGGAAAATATTATTTCTGAATACATTCAAAAATGTGTATGGAGAGAATTCCTTAAAAGTTCTCTAAGTTAACTTTATCTTCTAGTCGCATGAAAAGGAGAAAATGGGAGAAAGTTTCTACTTACGGAAGATACGAAGTTGGAGGCAGTGGTGGTCACAGTGGTTCGGGTGGAGGAAGAGGAGTACCTGAGAGCTTTGGCGAGGAAGGTCCACATCACAGCGTTGCAGGTGAAGAGAAGACCACCACACAGCAGCCTCAGAGGGATGTGGAGCTAGGAAGAAAAAATAAATATGCTTTATTAACGAACGTCAACTAACAACAATGTTGCCTGCAACTACTGAGATCAGAAACCCAAAATAAGAAGAAAGAAAAGTATATTAATATTCAAAATATTACAATATACTAATATTCTGAATATTCAGATATTCAAAATATTAATATTCAATATTTGTAACTATTTTTAAGCACGTAAAATTATTACATTTATCCTAAATAATTTTAAATAAATGATTTAGACTAACTTATTTTAAATAATTATCCCACTAGACAACAATGCAATAACATTAAAAGCACAGACTGACTTAAAATCTAATTAGGAGTAAACACATATTTCTAACTAACAACTAAATGTCAAACAAAAGCAAAGCAAAAAGAGAAATCTTGAGTTTGCTCCAGATCAGGGCCTAAATGATGAAGTTATTCATCACCTGGTTTTAAATTTAGACTCAGTTGCTATCAAAACAATTATCAGTACAACTTGCTAAATTCTCCACCAGACAAAAGAAGTCCATTTTGAAATTGATTGGAAAAGAAGATCCCATCCTGCTATAATGTGACACATGGACTTGCCATACCCTGACAGGCTTTTGACCTTGTTAAAGCAGGATATCCCACAGGATCGCGCCGTTCCCTAATTGGTATTCCTGAAATACCTCAACCCTGAAGTGACGCATGAAAATCAAGTGCTGCATTTCAATTAGGATCGTTTAATTGACTCCCTGAGCCGCTGCTCTCCTGAATATCCACACCGACTCAGAGCAGAAGGCGTGTTTATTGTCGTGGAAGCAGCAGACACCTGTCTGCAAGTGTTTTTCACTGCACCGCATAGACACGGAGCGAAGGTCGCAGCAGAAACCTGACTCCCTGTTTCCCTCACATCGTCACCAGCATCAGCCACACGAGAACAACGCGGTCCCGCACGCGCCGCGTCGCCCTTCAGCACGCGGACACTGCACGAGCGCGCAGATGCCGCAGGGGGTGAACCGTCGCGTGACGCTGTCCGTGGTGCTGATGATGTGGGGTTTGCTCCCCCCTAATAACCGGAACCGGCCATATTATCCCGACTGTGTTGTGAATGACGAGCAGAACCGAGACTCACCCGGTCGCACGCCGTGGTTTCATCCGCGTGTCTGAATTTCCGCTGCTCGCCCCACGTCCGGAGTCCGGTTTCACACACTCCCTTCAGATAGTCGGCTCCCAGGGACAGTTTGGCCGACGACGACGCCACGGCTCCGAGGAATCCCGCCAGCAATGCATAGAAAACTCCCGGGAACATGATGGTGATGGTTAAGATGGCAGCCGAGGCACATTATTCTTCAGTCCATGTTTTTAATCACTTCCTTTTTTGCTTCATTTTTTCCCCCCTACATGTCTGCTGTTGGTGCTGGTCGAGCTGCCTGCATGGTACTGACCGCATGAATGAATGAGCACATTTCCCTGCGCTTACTATCCACGGCCGCACGGTGGCAGAAACACAACACAGTTGAGCTCCTGTGGAATTCTGGGAATTGTAGTAGTGTCTCCTAACGAGCTGGAATCAAAATAAACAACACGGGCTTGCCCTGTAAATACAGTGTTTTCAAGGAATGGATTCCAGAAACAGTTTTCCGATAAATACTGAGCGAAGCAGCACAGAATCGATGCTAATGTAATATCCCTGAGAGTGAGTAAGTACTCTGGAGTCTTTGCACAGTGCTGCCAGACTTCTGCTCTCCCTGCAGCATACTGATAAGCTGCAGTAGGTGGGCTGATTACATTAAACCACTGTGGTATCAGTTGTGATGGATCAATGCTCTTGAATAGGATCGTTCCCCTGATAGGAAGCCATAAAGTGATATAACTAAGATAAATATGCCTTTTTGATAAAGACATGAGTGATCAGAACATCTGGTATCGTCGTCTGCAGCCGAATGTTTACTGAACTGGACAGACGAGTGAAGGGCACATTGTAAAAGAGGTGCATCTCAATAGATTAAAATGTCATTAAATAGTTGATTTATAACAGGTTTTGTATTCAATAAGTGAAACATATATTGTACAGATTAATTGCACAGAGGCATCTGATTAGCAGTTGTCCTTTTTAATTAGAAATACATTAAATGGCTGAGCCAGAAACTGATGGATATTTCTAATCTGACCTTGTTTCTCACTGGAGGCAGGATGAAGGACACAAAAAGCAATTAATTTCTCATGTTTATTCTTCTAATTATAAAACACAACATTCATAGTTATTGAACTGTCACATAAAGTTTCTTGATTGCTGAAGTGACTTTCAAGCTCATAAAACACTCTGGACCAAGACTTGCAGATGGTATGACTTCAAATCGTCGCTGACGACACTGTAAAACATTTAAAGGTGGTTTACCTTGAAAATGAAAGTCAGAAATTAAAGTTTATGAAGTTGATGTAACAACAAGAGATAAGTTGTCTAAACATTGTTTTTTTTAAAGTTCATTAATCTTGAATTGTGAGTTTTAAACTTAATGCTGCAAGTGAAACCAAATAATTATTTCACAACATGCAGGAAAAAAATTAAGGAGCACACATTTCTCAATTATTTTCAATCACATTATCAAGTTGAAATAATTTCTTATTTTACTTTAGAATAATTTTAATTCTTGTTTCAAATTGCATGAACAAAATCTTTGATCTGATAATGAATTTAATTAAACATCACAATTAATTCAGCTCAGAAACATTTAGTGTGAACCATTATCCTCAAGCATTAAAATAAACATTTGCCTCAATAACACAATGCATTTCCACCTCTGGATACAAGAACGTGCCGCTATGCATTCTGGGAAAGACCTCTGTCTTGTTCTTATTTCACTTTTTTTTTAAGTGCTAACCTAAAACCTCTGGTTTATTAAACTCTTAATATAAAGTTAACACAATGTACTACTGTAAGTTAATCTATCACAAACTCATTTAGTTTCAAAATCTAAAACTGGTTAAATTTATTTGATTTATTTATTTGTCTACAACCTTAAATAGTAGAAGGTAGTAGACACTTATTCGAGACCTGGACTACCAAATTAAATGATAATAATAATAAAAAATACTTTTAACTTAAAGAAGATTTGGAACCACTTTCTTCTTCAGTCCATATTAAATGTTATCTTTAATTTAGGAGTGGATTCATCTTCAGTGGGTTTTGATTTGTTTCTCTTAAAGCTGCATTGTGTGAAAACCAGACAGACTCGGGGATAAAAATGTTTTTCTATCTGTAAGTCCTTGATTTCTCACTTCTGTAACATCAGGCAGAAGTGAGAACAAGGACTGCTGAGGTTGAGTTTGACTTCTGATGATGTTTTTAATTCTGTTTAATTAAAAAAAGCATTTGTTGCAACATAAGAACATTTTCACAACCCTGTGAGTCATTTTCAAATAATCTGCTATGATGTTTTATACAATGTGAATAAAAACTAAGCAAACAATTATCTATTATTTTATTTATGTTTTCTTTTGTGCTCTAATAGTAGCAACATTAGCACCTTAGACTAAGTTTAGTTTAACTTGAACTATTTTATTTTTTTTAAGTTATAGAACCAAAAGGGTTTGGCTCTACTTGCTTTTATATAACAGGTGAAAAACAATTTTCTTTTAATTGCCAGACACATATAAAGTGATTCTTCCCAGTAGAAACGTGACTGCACAGAAATAAACTCAGTTTTTGTTGTTTGCTGGATTATAACATATAAACATTATATTTCTTTCCACATAGTAGATATTTTCATTGCTGAAACTGACTTTTTGATCATTTTTAAAGCCTTAAGGTTTCCCCTGAAGCCTCTAAAGATACTTTGGTCAAGAGTTTTCTTTCTAACCAGTAGATGTCTCTAGCATGCAGAGAACTATCACAACCTTCTAGTGGATATTTATGAATCATAAATAAATTTGATAAGCTTATTTATGAACCCGTAATTTATTACATATTTGATGAAATGTTGTCTATTTATGCAGCTGGTATGTAAGAAGCAGTGACCAGTTAGTTAATTAATAAAGCTTTATGTCAGATTAACAGCTAATAACTAATTAAAGCTCAATAAAACCTTAATTAGGCAGTCAATACTCCACATTGGTATCATCATTGCTTTAATTGTGCACTCATGTCAGGCTGTTAAAAATAGCGCAGCTATTAAAATGAGACCAAAGCCAGAATGAAACAGCTGAGCTACTGAAAGGATTTAATTCCTATAGTTTTTATTTGGTTTCTGTTTTTGTATTTTTCATAAAACTAGTGAGCGATGACACTGGGGAGCAGAGGAACGATGATCGAGAGGAGAATCAGAATATTCTCCTCTCTGCTTCGAGGGGAGAACCGTCCTCCATATTTTGATGCTGTTAAATTTCTGGAGTGTTCAAGTGAAACATCAGGAATAAATTGGAGCCATTACCTGTTATCTCCTCACTTTAAGTTTCCAGCCTAAGGCTTCTCAGACGAACGCAAGTGTCAAGTCAGAACGCTAATTGGGGTCCAATTGAGCAATAATTGAACCCACAGAGAGTTTTAGTGACATTTCAGCTTAAAGTCTGTCACTGCCGTCTCATGTCATCGTCCACCTTTTGCGCTCTGGCTCATCTGAGGAGACTTTAAAAAGAAAGCAGTCCCAGATGGTGGGTTTATTAGTCTAATGACTCTCCTGACCTTTAGCTCTGTCAGTCGATGCTCTTTTTAAACACTGAAGTGGCAGCTTGACGGTAGTAAAAAAATAAGACCTCTTCATAACCTCAACAAAACTATTATGGGATTTTAGGGGAGGCTGTAAAAGGAATTGCAGGGACTTTGGAAGAGACGACGTCCTGTGGAAAGAATTTACCAGTTTCATTAAGCTGTGTTGTGGATGTGGTGCAGTTCAGAAATATTCGGTTGAATTTTGTACAAGAAGAGAAAAAGGCACCACTGTGAGTCCTACTGCTGCTGTATTACTATGGAAAACAACTGGAACACTATACAACTCAAACAGCTGCTCCATGACTTTGTATTTTTGTGTTTTTAAGCATTTTGAACTGCAGTGTGGCTGAAACGTGACATGCAAATCAATGTGATTGATTGATTGATTGAACAGAACATTAATCCCCAACATCCCCAACTGCCATGGTGTTAAAGATCCATCCATCCATCCATCCATCCATCCATCCATCCATCCATCCATCCATCCATCCATCCATCCATCCATCCATCCATCCATCCATCCATCCATCCATCCATCCATCCATCCATCCATCCATCCATCCATCCATCCATCCATCCATCCATCCATCCATCCATCCTTGGTTCTGTCCGATAATCTTTTAACGACCATATTTAAATCCACCCATCCTTGGAACCATTCAGCTTTGGATCTATCCATCCTTAAATCTTTCCTTCCACTCATCCTTGGATTTATCTATCATTGGATCCATCTTTGAATCCATCCATCCTTGGATCCTTCTATTTCTCCCAGGTGAAGATCCGCCTCATCCACTGGGTCTTATGTGAAATCATGAAGCAGAGTTTATTACGCTTATGACAGCGGTGCCCAAAGTCGGTCCTTGATGTTTAACGCACCTGGATCCAATGACGGCTCATTAGAAAGCCTAAGCAGAACATTAAGGTTGTTATACCACCAGGGAGGGAACTAAAATAGGCAGGATGCTGTCCTGGAGGACCAGCTTTAGGCACCACTGAATGAGGACTGTGAATATAACATGTCTAAACTCACAACATTTGTCAAAAGTGGCAACATGGGCCAGCTTCACTAATAATAGTAACTGCTTATATATAATGTAGTCAATGTGGAGAGGGTTTGAGTGGAAGGAGAGCAGCTGCAGCTGGGGAGCATAGAGGTGGGCATTGAGCTAATTGGTATATTCAGAGATAAATAAATTAAACAATGAAGAGTTGCATTGAGGGCATTCAAGAACGAGTGGATTTTATGATGAAAAAGAAGACTGTTAGGAACCAATACATGAGAGGGAGCCAGGGTTTGATTGTGATGTTTGTAACTGTATATATATATATATATATATATATATATATATATATATATATATATATATATATATATATATATATATATATATATATATATAGTGCATTTAATAAGTCACAGACTGTTCCTAGCACTGTGTAATAAATAATACATGACTAATCATTATAAATGAATAATAATTAAAAATAATAGTGGATAAATAGCTTAAGACCAAATGCAAAAATTAATCATATACAAATCTATTAATCATGTTAAATAAATTAAAATATATTACTTTAAGTATTTATGTCAGCTTGAGTTATGCAGAACTGATCTGATCGTTGCTCTGGAAACGATCAGAAGCAAGATGTTGCGCCAGAAGTCCAGTGAGGTCACTGATGAGGTCATAGATGACATTATTTACATCACAATAGATCAAAGAGGTTCTGATG